CAAAGAGGGTTGCTGGGCTTATAGCCGAATGTCAACAATTTGGGAGAGATGCATTAAAAAAATCACATTTTGACTCTTTTAAAATATCTGATACTGAAAAATCATGATTTCTCTTTCCAAGTTATGTTTTTCTATTGCCTGTGGTAGAAGGTCCTTGAACTCCTCCGATTTGCATGGCTTTAATCAGCATACACAGAATTCTCTAGCTTTTCTTCTTTTTCTGTTTTCCCTTAATTAAATAAGTTCAAGCTGGGAAACATATTTTCTAGTGAATCTCATCTCTTCAGTCTTCTGCAGGCATAGTTTTGCAAACACCTGTTTGGTATACTGATACTTTTCACTTCTTGTTGCAGCACTCCTGATTCAAAAGAAATCCCTCATATCTGCTGCTAATTGAGTTATTAAGCTTTTTGTAAATAGCTATTCAGCATACAAACCTGCAAGCAAGTCGTAACTTATCAAGAAAGCTACCAGCTTTCACTCTAGTGGTTCAGTTTTGGCTTTAATTTGACCAAAAATGTTTTTTATGGGACTCAATTAAATTCAAATGCATAGTTTCACATCTGTATTCTTGATGAAATACTAAAACCTTCTTAAAGGTAACTTAAATGCGTGGTATAGTGTCCTCAGGGTAACTTGTGCACTAAATATGTTTTCTTTCCCACCTTGTAGAGGTATCTCATTAAGGTACCAGCTAGTGTCATTATTAAGTTTTCATGTGTTTCTCAGTTTTGATGCTAATCTTTGTGTGTGTTAATTTTTATTTTCCTTTGCAGCACCAATGTGGTTATGAATTATTCAGAAATCGAGTCTAAGGTTCGAGAAGCAACCAATGATGATCCGTGGGGACCTTCAGGGCAACTCATGGGAGAGATTGCCAAGTAAGTGATAATTTGACTCACTGGTGAAAGAAAGGGGCACCTCATCCAGGAATGCAGAACTTGCTGCTGGATAACTTTGCTGTATGCTGGCTGATAATGCTGAAAAGTTGCAGTATTTTTTTCAATACATAATTTTATAATCATTAAAACTGTCAAGCAAAAATGTAGTCAGTATCTTTGAAACTTTCAAAACATAAGTAGTCTAACCAACTTCCAGTGTATCTGGCTTTTTGGAGACTTTATTGGTAGACTGCTTTTTCCTGTGGATATCTAAATGGAGCAAAACAGATCAAATTATTTAGACCTTCTTTTGTTTAAAATGAGTTTGGAAGTTGCACATTTGACTGATTGCTCTAGTTTAGACTGCTTGTGCTAAACAGTTCATTTTTAAACTAGTGAAGGTTCTTTAACTGCCCCAGGTCTGTAGAATTACCTTTTTGGACTACTGATAATGCAGATTACTTCTGTATGAGTAAGAAATGCTAATAGCTTTTCACTTACAGTTCTATCAAACTTGAATGGACTTAGATCAAGCCTGCCATCTACTGTCAACTGTGAATCTCAACAAGCTGTTACAGCAAACCACTGTGAATATAAACTCTTTATTTCTTTTGTTTAATTCTTTAGGGCTACATTTATGTACGAACAGTTTCCAGAACTCATGAACATGCTTTGGACTAGAATGTTGAAAGACAATAAAAAAAACTGGAGGAGAGTTTATAAGGTGTGTATTTATATGAACTGGATGTATTCAAGGCTTTGTATTGGTCTACTAAGGACTTAGTGTTTGCTTGATGTTAGTAAAACATTTTGATGGAGTGTCTTGCTAGGATAACCCTATGTCACTTTACTCCACTAATGTCTGGAGTTATTTTTCCAGACTGCTTGCTCAATTCCCTTATTGAAGTCAAAATTGTCTTACGAAAGCTGCATGTGGAAAAACAGAACTTCTGATCGTAGAAATCTTTCTAAGATGCTATTTAATGAACATAATAGAGCAATTATTTTGCTGATATTTGAGTATTGGAATAAGGATCACGTTTTGAACCTACCCGAAGGAGTTTACAGTGCTGCAAGAAAGATATGATAAATTATTATGCTATCAGGAATATGTTTTTTAAGGAATTTAAAAATAACTGAAATAAGATGGAAACTAATCTTGTGGGGTTTTTTTTGATATTTTGTAATTCTCTTAAAAATAGCAGGCGGCTTGACTGTCAGGAAAATTCAGTCCATTTATGTCGTATAAGGCTTTTAATTTATATCCTACTTGCACTTTGGAAATAAGAACTGAAATTCATTTGCATTTTTCTTGGCTTTGGCTAATTAGCTGGGTGCAGAAACTTTTTCCTTAAGATTTTCATGCTGCACTTCAAGTAGCGTTCAGTGTTCACTGAATAATGCAAATATAACCTCATTTTTTAGAACTGGTGTATTACATGCACTGGGTTGTATTGTTTTTCTTGATGCTGGGATTGTAACCAGACAGAATTAATTCTAAGGCAAGGTTTGTGCTTTTCACAGGTGCTTGATGTTTTGTATTCATAGTAATTGTTTTCCCTGATGTACAATGCAAATTAATATTTAATGTTATCGCACATATTACTTAATGTTATAAAGACTGCTTGGAATTGCATATCAGGTTTGAATAGGTTGCAATATCATGGTATTTCTTAGCTGATAAGGATATCTGCTTTGAAAGGTGTTTTTTTGAGAAGTTGCAAAGGTTAAAGTATTTCAATTGTAATTCTTTAAAACTTGTTTTTAAAAAAATATTCTAAACTGCAGTTTAGTACATCTTTTGCATCCTGCAGAAGACTTTATATATTTCCATAGGAGTTACTTTTCAGTGGAAAAATACTGAAGAATTATGAACAGAAAAGGCAAAAGAAAATTCATTTTACAGAGTTAACTTTCTGTAAATTTCTAGAGCTATTTTTTAACAGTAGTTGCTGAAGGTAACTGCTTGTGATATGATAATAACAAATTATTTTTTAACCAAATTTCTGATTTCCTAGAAAGGAAAAAGGAGGGAGGGAATATTGTGTGTGTCTTTTTTTTTTTTTCTTTTCCTCCTCCTCCTAGGTAACCCATATAATAAACACTTAGTTAAAAGGGGAAAAACCTTATTTACTAATTTGGTGGGGAGTGGAGAGGGGGGAGATTGGGTTTTCTATTGCACTTGAGGAAAAAAAAATAGAGCTTTTGTTCATGCAATCATAAGGTGCTTTGTATTTTTATAGTCTTTGCTGCTCCTAGCTTACCTCATAAGGAATGGATCAGAGCGTGTTGTTACAAGTGCCAGAGAACACATTTATGATTTGCGATCCCTGGAAAATTACCACTTTGTAGGTGAGCAATAGAAAAATCTTATAAGCAAATTAAAACAGTAGTTGGAGTTGTCAGTCACCTGAACCAGCTTAGAAGCTTCCCCAGTCTAATTAGAATGTGACTGTTGCCAGTTGTGTGAAGAGTGCAGAATCCAAGACGTGGGACCCTAGAGTATTAATTAGTGAAGACAAGAACTTGCAGAAAAGACTGGCTAATAACAACAGAACCAACACAACATGAGTGTTCGGGTTTATATTAAAATATGCACTAGAGACTGGTCCCCTGTGGTGTCCGTAAAGGAATAGCTTTAATCATATGGGAAGAAAAGGTTAGAGCTCCAAAACACACACATCTGTTTGAAGCTGGGTTTCTTTCCTCCCACCAAATAATATTTACAGTGCAAAGGCAGCAAGGCCAGTGTGTGTTTTGAATGTGAAAAAGGCTGGGAAAGCAGCACATTTAGCTTGTAGTATATCCTAACTGAAAGCATTTTTTTCAAAAATTCGGTTTTGCAGTGACAGTGAATTCTAGCAATTAAAGTTGCAAAACCCAAAAACACTAAGAAAAAAGGTTATAATTTGAAGGGTTAAAATACTGAAGTGGGGAATACAATTTCTATTGCAGTCTCTTTAATTTTCAGTGCTTCAGAAGCTGTTAGGTATTTCTAAATACAGCATTCAGGGAGAACTGTCTCCTTTATGTAAGGATGAAAATTTGTGTGGAAACAAAATATCTAGTCCTCTTTAAACAAATGCAATGGGCTGTAAGATTTTTTTGACTGCTCTGTTCGTAATTGCTTTTCTCTGAGTTTGTAATGTTGTTGTTGCCTCTGTTACTGCCTCTGACTTTCCTTCATTGCTTTTCTCCCCTCTTCCATCCCCCCTATCCTACATTATCTACCAGATGAAAATGGCAAAGACCAGGGTATAAATATACGCCAGAAGGTAAAAGAAATGGTTGAATTTGCTCAAGATGATGATCGTCTTCGGGAAGAGAGGAAGAAAGCAAAGAAGAACAAAGACAAATACATTGGGGTTTCTTCGGACAGTGTCGGAGGATTCAGATACAGTGAGTACTTAGCCATGGTGGTGAGGACTTAACCTTCACTTTCAGATTGGCTAAATATGTAACAATAAACAGATAACAGTTCAGGAGTTTCTGGGATGCTCTATTAGATGCTTTTTTCTTTACAATTTTTTAGTTGCCAGGGTTGATATTATTTGCAGATTAATCCTGTCCTTTTTTAACCTATATACATATTTTAAATAAATTCTTAAAGTATGTTTTTTGGGGGGTGTTTTGTTTGCTTTATGTTTGTTTTTGACATTCCTTAGTATCTGAGTGAGCTTTCAGGTAAATAAACTAACTGGAAACATCTTATTAGAAAATGACACTAATCCACTGGCTTATCAAAACTTTGCTATTTCATCTTCACCTGTGTAGAATCTCATTCCAAAATGAATGCTGCTGTTGCACAGGGCTTTTTCTTAAAGTTTGTCTTTAACTGTATCTGCTAGTGAGGAGGCCCCAGTTAACATCACAAATTTCTAAACTTTTCTTAACAAAGCAGATATGAATGTTTAAAATAAAAAAAGATGTGTGGTGAGTCCCTTGGCCAAAATCTGTTCCCTCCTCATTGTACAAACTGCCAGTCTTCTATTCAACACTGAACTGGCACTTAAAATAGGATCTTCATTGCTAGCCCTTTAGAGGGTAGAGAGGGGTCTCCTTCTGTGTGATCCTTAAACTTGAAAAATTATCTCCACTGTTTGGCAGTTGCCTTCCTGTGTTTCCTTCAACATTAAGCTCAAATTTTTATCTTTTGCTTCAGGTATTCTTAGTGCATAATGAAAGTTAGTGAAAGCTGCATTAAAATGCTTGAGAGCACCTGACATGAGCCAAAATAAGGCCATTTCACTCCCCTGTGATAATTAGCACTAGTGAAATTCCTAGCAATTTATTCTTATAATATCTCACTGAGTATCTAGCTAATCTCTAATAGGTGCTGTACTTTGAAAATACTTTCCTAACCTTTGTGGATCTAAATAAAATCATTTGAGATTTGCATTTATTTTTGATTAGAAAATCTGTCTGGTATATAGTGATATCAGATCTACTTGAAATTTTGCACCTTGTGGCGCTGAAACACATCACCTCCTTTTTATTAAGGAGGGCTTAGTTGAATGAATTTTGAGCCTTACCTGGCTGTATATAACCTTCCTATATAACCTTAAGTAATGATTTTTTTGCCATCCTTACTTTCTGATGTTCAGTTTGTCTGCTTAAGTAGTAAAATTGAACTCATTTGTTTTTAATCAATAACACAAGAAAACAAAAGTTTCATGTGTATGATGCTCCAAAATATAAAATACTAATGTCTGAAACTGAGCCATATTGCCTCATGGCTCTAAACTTAAATCTGATTTAAAGTTACAATACTAGTCAGTAAACTGTTTTGCAGTTCCAACAGCTGAAGTAGAGCTGAATCCCATAGGTTTAGTAAAATTCAAGCGCTGATTTTTCTTAGATTATACATAGATAGGGGTAGTGCTTAAATAAACCCAGACTTATGTTCTTAAACTGTCTTAATCAGTTTGTAGCAGCAAATATTCTAAGTACACCCATCAGCTGTTTATAAGCTAAGATGTCAATAGAAAGGTCTTGACACTGGTGTTCAGAAAAGATATCCAGGGTACTCAGTGGCTGCGGAAAAGTAAGTTGCTTTAGTCCCTCTTTGTTTCACTTTTTTAAATTAATTTTAAAATGACTGAGTGCAGAAAAGAACAAAGGTGTAACCATGCATTTCACACTTGTCTCAATATTTTGGTATGCCTTTGTGCTCGTGAGTGTCTAAATGTACACAAGTCTGATTTACCTCTTAGCACACAGCTTGCCCAAGAATGGAATATCATGCACTAAGTGACTGTTCGTGGTGTTGCATTTCTGATAAGTTGTTTGTACAGCTGGAGCTGGTTGTGCCTCTTGTGCTTCTCCAGCAGTGTCCTGATGCACTGTATTGGTCACTGCATTGAGACTGTGTGGCTGTCATAAAAGTCTT